TATATATATATATATATATATATATATATATATGTGTGTGTGTGTTACTTAAAATTACTATAACATTACTTAAATCATGTGATATAACCATCAAGAAAAGTATTTTACATATTTTCCTTACACCTTAAATGCATGCAAGTAATAATTATAATTTTCAAAAATTTTTTAAAGTAACAGATCTTTTTATATAGCATTATTATTATATATATTTTTTGAGAGTGTTTCTTGAATACAATTACGTTTTAGCAGTTTGACTTTTGACAACCAAACTTTCTGCCTTGTCAAATTATCTGATATTTTTAAGAAACTTAAATGTTGTACAAGTCTACATGGGTCATCGCTGTGATTATTATTTCTTTTTTTTAATGGTTTTCTTGTCTTGTCTTGGTAACATGTTGTTTACACCAATTATAATATATTTTATTAATAATATAAAATAATTTTAAAGAAATAATAAAGATTATCATTATTATTTAACTTTTTTTATTTTAGAGACATTTTTTTACATTAAAAAATCAACATTTGGAAATAGAACAGATGTCCATCATACAAGAGGTGTATTCAGATCAATATATTTGAAAGAAAATGATGTCATTGGTCCTATAATGTATTACAGACAAATGCATTACACTGTGTCTTGTGTCACTTCAAGAATGTCTCCAACCAATTATATTCTTAGAGCAAGGACAGCCTACATTTTATGTTATAGACTGGACAACAACCACTCTAAGTCTTCCGGGTTCTCACACTTGAGGGACAGGAGTTTTATTTCCTCCATAAAAAGGAGATGTTAGGCATGTAGCTGTTAGAGGTGTCATAAAAGGAAGGATTACTCAGGAGGGAGAGAAGTGCTTAGGTAAGGGTTAAAAGGGAACACGACATCAGAGAAAAAGGAAATTGAGGTCAATAGGTCAATAGGCAGCTTCCATTCCCACTTCCTTAAATCCTCAGACTGGTTAATAATGCATTCACACACGCAACACACACACACACACACACACACATCCAGATGCACAGGACACACAGGAACAGATTATGGAGCCAACGCACTTTATAAGTCTGCAAAGGTTTAGGTGAAAAAGAGGAGATAAGTTAAGTGTTATGTGATTATGCTTTCCATCCCGCTCTAACTGCTAAAAAAAAAAAAGCATGGCATTCGTACGACAATCTTTAGTTCAGCGGATCACAGCCAACCTGGAGAGGAGCGCAAAAAAAGTCACGTCACAAATTGAGGTCACCGAAAAACACTTGAATGCCAGGCATTGATGCACAAACAGAGGGATGGCGGAGAAAAGGAAGTGAAAATATAGAGGACAGCGAATGAGGAGGAACCATGATCAAACGGGAAAGAAAAGCAAACTCAAAACATAAGCTGATGGTCTCACGTTCAAAGTCAAGGAAAACTATTGGGCCATGCTCAAGTTCGGTGCAAGCCAGCAGTTTCAGGAGATTTCCCATGATCCCCCTGGAACAGAGAGAAGGGAGAAGCATGTGGGTCATGGGAGATGTGGCAGACATGTGTCTGGTGTTGGGTGTGTGTTCGTGTGAATGTGCGTGGAGTCTGGGATGGGGGGTCGGGGCGTATAGGGTGTGGGATGGACTTTAGGTGTTCGAGATTCTCGGGCGATGTTGATATGGTCACATGGTCACACTGAAACTCCTTCTTGCTGCTCTCTTTCTATACATAAATGGAAACGAGTGAACACAATCGTGAAGAGAGCAAAAAGAAACAGTTTCCAAAAGCAAAAAAAAACTTCAGTCTGTCTTAATCCACATAGAGGATGCGTCTACACCTGCTCCAACCCTGATAGCTCCATCTCCAATCACACACACATACACACATCCGAGCACACATACACACACCGTACACCAGCGAAAAACTTACTTTCAAAATCCAGGAAAAAATGAGGACAGTTCTCTAAATCCTTGCCAAGGACCTTAATGAGGTTCCCCATGGCTGGCAAACCTGGGCAAGGAAGACAAATACATACAGTACAAAGGAATACAACCTAGATGATACTCATTAGCAAGACTCCTAGACTGTCAGTGAGTATTTTCTCTACAAAAACTTTTGTCATATGCTGTGGTAAGAGCCAGACTGTGCATTGCATAAAGCTGAAAAATGCTGCTAGTTTTTTCATAGGGTAAACTGTAATAAAAGAGGCTGTTTGTGTCTGAAATAATTCAACAAAATAATCCTTCTGACAAAGTGCTGTAACTGCTGTAATACAGTGTTTGTTGTGGGGACAGAATTTTTTATTTTTTTTATACATTTTCCTTTCTTTTCTTCATTGCTGCAGTGTGGTAAAAATGAATGCATGCCTTTAAAGATGTGAATATTATGTTGTTTGTTGCAATGCAGCATTTGAATATAATACAGGAAAAGAGCAGTAATAAAAAAAAGAGATCATGACACAAACCGCACAAGCAGGAACAAACACCTTTTGGTGGTGATCTGGCATCAAGTGACGAGATGTACAGTAACTTAATATAATGGCATGGTAATAGTAAATGAACTCACATTAACACTGTGTAGTAGCACATAGCTGAGGTCTGCCTGTCCTAACCAGCTCTGACTCAACGTTTATAGCAAATCTGACTGTCCATACTGAAAGCAAAAATGCTTATGTGACATGACACATTTATAGATAATCAGTCATTGTGAAGTATGATTTTGGACCAATGAGATTTCACCATGGGCGGGGCTAACCAGCTCAACATAACAGAAACAGAAACTAAGTGATTGACAAAAACTCTTATTTTCTTAGAATAAATGTTTTTTTGCTGCTTGTTGCTTTATTGCATTGCATTTGGTTAGAATATAATGTTGTACCGTCAATATAACCATTTTGTTTGTTAAATCAGTTTGCATGCACTAAATATCAGCTGCAGTTGGCAATGGACACCAAATGGTACAAATAAAAACTTGCAATAGAGGAACAATTCTGGACAGACTAGTATATAGAAACATTCAAGAAATAAAATAGCTAGATTATCGTGGCACTGATGATAACACAAAACCTATCATGGCATTTCCCAAGAGACACAAATGCGCATATTGGCAGTGTTCGAAATAAGAATCTGGCTGTTACATATCTAGGCTTTTAAATCTTTCATATCAAGCCATATCCTTCACTTATGGCACACAACGCAAAGATGGCTCCTCTCAGCCTGTTTATCACTTAAGAGGCAATATATCCCGCTCTGCCTGTCTCCTGGCAACCACCCGTAGAGCCCTGTTTCCATGACTGGACCACATCACCTCTCCCGCCTGTACTCTCTCTCTATCTGAAGCTTTCGTCATCAAAATCACCAGCCAAATCCTGGTCTAAAGTATATAACAGTCTTTCTTTCTGCCTATATGTCTATGTCTGTTTGTCTGAATCTGTCTGTCTGTCTGTCTCTATCTGTCTGCCTGTCTGTCTGTCTGTCTGTCTCTGTCTGTCTGTCTGTCTGTCTGTCTGTCTGTCTGTCTCTGTCTGTCTG